AATCACAAGATTAAAGGTCTAATCACAAGATTAAAGGTCTAATCACAAGATTAACGGCCAAATCATAAGATTAAAGGTCTAATCACAGGATTAAAGGTCTAATCACAAGATTAAAGGTCAAATCCTCAGATTAAAGGTCAATTTCTAAGATTAAAGGTCTAATCATAAGATTAAAGGTCTAATCACAAGATTAAAGGTCAAATCATAAGATTAAAGGTCGAATCATAAAATTAATGGTCAAATCATAAGATTAAAGGTCAAATTCTAAGATTAAATGTCAAATCATAAGAATAAAGGTCAAATCTTAAGAAGACAAACCTTAGAAATTCCCCAAAAGAATTTGATCGTTTTTTTGCTGTAAATGCATAGTTTTTTTAAGATTGAATAATGTTTGAAAAATTGTGTACGTCTTAAATTTACTTGCTGGCATTTATTATGTTGAAACCCTTTACACACTACTGTTAATCAAGACGAATTGTTACATTATGAAAAGAGAAATGATTTAACAATATTCACACAAAAAGTCCTAAACTCAACAATTGTATTATAATAACTGTTTACAAAGAGAAGTCCTGTTTTAAACCAGTTCACTGTCACCTAAAGGGTGCAGGCTTTCAGAATATACTGGGGGGGGGAGTAAGATGGTTAAAAAAGGGTAGAAGTAACGTGTGTGTGTTACCAAGCTGAAGTGCCCGGCATTGCCCGTGGAATTTTAACAACTTTGAAATAAAAATCTAAATTTGTCACCCACAAGTGGTATCCATAGGTTTTACTTAAATTTTTTAACCAATTTGGTCCAGCCATTTGGCCAGCTTATAGCTAACATAGAAAAGCATAAAGATTGATGTTTTACCTTATTAAAATTGTTCGGCATAATTGATATAGACACAAATATTTAGGAATGTTTTGTAAAGCTACAATTTCAGAATTTTACTTTCCAAAATAATTATTCTTTTTAGTCCAAATCCAAGTTTGAGCAATGAAAACCTGAAAATTACATCCTGTGGGAAAACAAATTAATATGGAGATACCCTCAAAGGATGGACTTCAGAGACGATTTTACGGAATTTTTTTAGTTTCCGTTTTCTTGCATTCAGGGTTTCTTGTAGACCAAAACTGGCTTATTTCTGTGCTTAATCATTGAGTAAACCATCAAAAACTCAATTGAATGCAGAAACCAAATGTCAAGCTACAAATTGTTATATTTTTTTAAGTTTTGGGTCGTCTTTACACTCTCATCCTTTGTGGGTAACCCTGGATTTTAAATTTTAAAATTTCCTTTTTCAAATTGGGAATTTTAATTTTCATATTTATTATAAATGCAATTTTAAACACAGTAATTGTATTAAATTCAGATAATCGTGTTTCTAATCCAAAATATTAAAGAGGAAAAAATTCAGTTTGAGCATGGATCCGGGTTCTTTGCAGATCAACTTGATTTTTCTAAAGATTTGATCTCTGTAATGTTCGGGTCTATCTCGGCAACATCAAGAAAGCTGAACATTTGTTCTTTGACCTTTTGCTAGTTTGGCATTTATCTAAATACAACGGTGTGAGGAGGAGAGCAGATTCCTTCTCTTACAGGAGATAGTCTGCATTTTCATAGATTGCCGGAGACTGTACAGACATGATACGGGACTGAGTAGGGATGTTTTTTTTTGCATAGCTTTTTGCCTAAATTTGCTTTCAGAATCAACATTTGGCAACTTTTTCAAATGTTTTTTGCTATTTAGAAATTATGTAAAATAATGACCCTTGCAGAAGATACATGAACAAAACTACCCCAAAACGATGCAATAATGATGCAATAAAGATACAAAAACGATGCAAAAACGGTCTTTGTTGGAACGATAGTTTTTGAATAAGTTTTCTTTTTTACTTTTTTAAGATATTGCAAAGTTCAATGAAAGCAAACTTTAACATAAAACAGATTTGAAATCTTAAAAGTTTTATTAATTTTTTTCTAAAAACAATCCTAAACAATTAACAACTCTAGGGCTTGGCAAAACGGAAATTTGTTAATAATTTAATTAATTATATTTAGAAAGAATGGTTTAGTTATTGAGTTAAATACAAATTGTTACTTGATCAGTCTCATTTGTAATGTTAACGAAAGCAGGAAAAAGTACTAACTGCATTGAAGTCGATTTAACAATAACTTGTTAAAATTAGCTGTAAGTTATGACATTGTAGATTTTTACATAGTAATTTTAGAGAAATAAACTAATAATTGTGGTAATTAAGTATCGAAAAAATGAAGGTTCAGCTGTCCACTTTTAATTTTACCTAAAGCTGCTTTGAAAATGAATTGTGAAACTCTTAAATAGCATTGAAAAGTACTTATTTTCAGTATTGAAAAGTATTTATCTTCAGTATTGAAAAGTACTTATCTTCATTGTTGTACTTTATAAAATTTAAGAGTACTCTCCACTCCATAATCGATCCATGTGGTGAATTTTATCCCACTTTTCCTCTGGGATTTATTTATTTGATTGTGTGCCTCTTTTCAGAGCAATTATTGTCCAAGATGGCGACCAAGTCCCCTGAGGGGCCCCCTCCCACCCCTTCCATAGCAAACACAATCACCTCCAGAGTACACAATCTAGGCTCCTCATTGGCTGGAGCTGGATCAGCTGCTACTGCTCGGCTTAGAACCGGTTTTACCCAAGTATCCACTCAAATGTACTTAGTGACCTCCGCTCAAACCAGATCTAAAACAATACTCCTTAGTTTAGGTAAAGTACTTTTTCAGATCTGTTTAGTCTAGAGTAAGTAGTTTTAAGGACATTTTTGGTTTATTGAATAACCTGATGATGTTGATTATTTTTTTCAGGAGCTAGATCAGTACTCACAGCTAAAGAGTAACTTTTACTGTAAATTAAAAAATATTTTCAGGAGCTTTCAAAATGTTTGTTACCAATTATTAAAATTCTGATTAAATCACAATGATTTGTAAATATCTTGCAATCATGTTTTCAGAAGTTCTGAACTATATATAGTAACTGTATGATACATTGATTCACATTGATTCAGCAATGCTAGCCGCAATAATAACGTTTTGAGTTTCATTTATTTCATGCTTTCAGGAGCTAATTGATCATAATGATATTGTTATCATACTGATTTTATTGATCACAATGATCATATTGATTATATTGAGCATATTGAGTATATTGATCCTGCTGATCATATTGATCATTGATCATGCTGATAATATTGACCATGTTGATCATATTGTTCATATTGATCATATTGATCATATTGATTTATTGATCATATTTTCAGGAGCTACAGCAGTACTAGCAACAATAGTAACTATTTGTGTAGTATCAACATCTTCAGAAGTAGAATCACAGGTATTCACTTTCTTTTGAGTTCGACACTAAAAGAAATACCATAAGATGAATTTATTGAATCAATGCAATAATAAAATGTTAATCCAAGTCAATCCATAAATGCAAAGGAGATAAGCATTGTGCATTAAATATGCTGTGGAATAGGAAGACGATATTTAAATTATCTCAGTTTGATGTTGTTATAATACAAAAGGTAATCAATTGCGGTTTTTACATACATTGAACTATTTAATGCCACAACTGAAGACTTAATTGTTCTCTTTCTATTCCACAAGTATTGACAAGTAAAAAACTGGATTAAAGACTCTGACCACAAAACAATTCAAAGAAAAATTTAAAGTGAAGAGCAAAGTGAAAGAGTTGTTGAATAGTTAAAATGCGAAAAAATAGTTTTAAAAGTAAAATATTCGCAAATCTGACTGACTTGGAATCCTTAAAGTAACAAACGAAAGTAGTTTTTAAAAACAAATTTTTGTTCGGATCTGGTTAAGACTTAAGATGAATATTGATATTTAAGAAATTCCTACCATTTTCTTGATAAATGTTTTTAGGGGGCAGCTGTAAATCGGTAATGGCACTGTTAAGTTGGAGGGCCACTTAAAATTACTATGACAAATTGTTTGATGTGTTCCAATGAGGGGGG